ATATCTAAAATTTTATATGCATATGTATTTATAAGATTTTTAATTAAATTTCTTAATATAATTAAAAATATCTCGAGAATTCAAAAACTCAAAATTAACATTAATATCTCTCCACGATTTATAGAAAATAGCGAGTTTTCCCACACGCTTTGTTTCGTATAAACCATTTAAAATTCGAAAAACCATTTAAACTATTTAAAAATCAAAAATTCCATTATAAATCACGTACTTAAATATAACTTAAATATAACTTTTTGAAGCCAATCAAATGTATGATCTTCATTTTTATCTTCATAGAAAGTGGACGAGTGATCTCCATCCTCGATCGACGTAAAAGAAAAGAAAACGTAAACGCAGGTCTAAAAGATACCAACTTTTCCTTTCTTTGAAAAATACGCATTATGTTTTCGACAGATTTGACGATGAGAGGGAACGAAAGAGTTCTTTAGTATGTCAAAAAAAAGAGATGAGATAATTTGTCGAAATTTGTTTGATGAAAAACGCTCCTTTCCAAGTTAAATTGCTAAATCAATATATATGAATAGCAAGTCAAACAAATAATTATTATCAATCGCGATGATCCTTTGCGATATCCTGAAAGTTAGGACGGAAATGTTTATATATTTTTAGTATGAAGACCTTCTAAAAGTCAGGGTGGAAATGTTTACATATTTTTAGTATGAAGACCTTCTGTTATTATCGAGATCATCTATAATAATGGTTTTTACAGCGGGATGTGTGTAGAATGCAGAATATAGAATTCTTACATACCGAGAGAGACTATAAAAATACTACAACTGTGATTTCGAAGTTAACAACGTGTTTTCCCATACGCTTTTTCTTTATTAAGCTCGAAATCGACACACTCATGTTTCGATAAGAGAAATTTAAATAAAGCTTTTTGCCATGTCAAATTTGTATTACAAGTAGTTACTGCTATTTTCGATCTTATGTTTGAATAATACTCTTGCATAAGAGTTAGACTTACATAAGAACAAAGAATTGGATCAAACTCAGGACTGAGCATGTATTTGAAATACTTTTATTCGAAAACAATAATTGTAACATAATTGTATTTGTATTTTGTATTTCAGTGGAGCACATGAAAGTATTTTGTATTTCAAATCGAAAGATTGAAAGTATTTTGTGTTTTGTATTTCAAATATTAAGATTGATAATAAATCTTATTTTAATTACAAAATACAAAATACTTTTATGTGCTCCGCTAAATACGAAATACAATTATATTATAAATACTATGTTTAAAATAAAAGTGTTTCAAATGTCCAGCCCTGCCAATATCAATTATTCGATTATCTTCTCAGATATGTAATCGGTTTATTTTTTTCATTGCTATAATGATTATCGTATTAGTATATTCCTGAGAGGCGGAGATTCTAAAATAATTTTCCCTTGACTCATGATACGAAATAAAGTTTAACAAATAAAGATATAACGGAAGCTTGAAACGTTTGACATATCGCGTAACTACCTACGCAAACGATAAATTGTAACCCGGAAGATCTGCAAACTGCCACAATAATGCAGAGTAAATTTGGAGGCAACCTATGATCACGTGGAAGCTTCGGTACTTTGGGGGATTACTCTTACGTAAGCCGATTGGTCGGAAAATAGACTGGAATCGCTCTGGTTAGCGCGAGCAAAAGTATACAACCAACCGTTCACCAAAATGCACCTGTAGATACATACATAACAATGATAACCGCGTTTTGCGTTTGCCTAGTCATTTACGTTAAGGATTCTAATGTACTTATGCACAATGTAAATATAACTGTAGAGTCCAACTAAGTTTCAGTTGCAGTTAAAGATCGAAGTTTTGGTTGGATTTCGGTTTTAGTCGAAATTAAAAGGGAGTTTCAAGGGATGATATATCAAAATTGATTAAATTATAATTTAAAAAAAATTTTTATTTTATATCTTGTAATTTTGTTATTATTGAGATAATATAAAATTTTGATACTACGGATATATATTGTACATATACTATAAATAGTGATATTAATAGAATATAGATAATAATAGAATAGATAATTATATAATTAGATAATTATAATATTAGGATGATAATAATGTATCATTATTGTTTCAATAATGAAATTATGATATTAATGATATTATTGAATAAATAATACATAATATATGTATACATACATATATATATACATATGGCCTTTCTAGAATTCCTATAAAATTTTCAGTTTTCGGTTTCAGCCAAAATAAAAAAAAATTGTTGGACTCTATATAACTGTTTTAATAAATTAAAATAAAAACAATTTTATGGCTTTAAGAATAAATCTTAATAAATTGCCTATGTACGTGAGAGTAAGAGTTTGTATCTGATTTCTACTGAAGACAACTCAAATTCAGAGTTGAAATGTTTGTAATTAACTTTGTTAGTACAGTACATTCCAATTGTCTACAAATTATAACTTATCTCATTATAAATATATTATTTACACATTGACAAGCGCAAAAACAGTTTACTTATATTTGTTTTAATAAATTGATAATCTAAGAATATAATAAAAAGACGAAATGTAGATTCTGTGCAATTTCTTGTAACGCGTATATTGTATCATATTTACGAGAAGCGTTGACTAGGTGAAATTATAAGTTGGGTTTTTTATCTTTAATATATCTTCCTCTTTACGTCGTTCAAATTTCTCTCTTCGAGTAAACCTTGAGAGTAAAGTTCGAAAGAAGTTCAATAAAGACATCTGGGTCTGAAGATATCGAAGACGCGACTTGTCGAGACCAAGAATGAAGTTGACGCCACGTGACATTGTGAATGATTAGAAGCTCGACGAGAACAGCAGGCCATTTATCTATAGCTATTAGAAGGTAGGAGCGAAATAATTTCTTTGGGATTTTACACGCAAGCTCCCAAATCCGAAGCCACTTGTAGTGAGGCAGAAAAAAAAAAGAAAATAATTCACGCGAGAAATGTCAATAGCGATTCGGGTCTTATACACTCTCATATTTCAAATTCATCACTACGTTGAGCGCCGCTGGATGATTTTTTTTCTTTGTGCTGACATTAATATTGTCGCGATTATCGATTCGCTGGAAATGTGACACGGCGTTTCTTTACGAGAAAAATAATAAAATTAGCGAACACATTTAAATCGAATTATTGGTGAATATTACGGGAATTATATATTCAATTTGGAATTATATCCGTATAATCGTCATTTAAAATCAAATAGAAAATATAATTTGATTGAGAAGAGTTTAACTCTTTTAACTCTGAAATAATTGTTAAAATTCTCAATTTCAATTTTGCTAAGAAGAAATTTTTAGCAAATTTGTTTAAAAACTTTATCAGTATTATTTAAATCTTACGAGATGTTTAAATGAAACACAACAATGCAATTTAGATATAAAAGATTTAACTGTAACACCTAAGACAACTTCTGCATTCTTGTTATTCATTTCATGTTGTAATATTTGATCTAATTGCATGTCTGACCTAATAGCCGTGAAAATATACGGAGATAGTTTATAATCAAGTTTGAAATGACTCAGTTAATTTGCCAAGACATGGGCACAGTCAACTTTTTCCAACATCTTCTCGCATTTGATGATCTCGTTGTCTTGCTGAACAAAATGGTCAGCCTGGAGAAACTTGTCAATGAATTCTTTTAGAGTGGGAGTTTGTCGATATCCTAGTCGTATCACGTACGAATGGTATTGTAAGAATGAAGCATTCTGAAAAGATCTATTACGTGTTCGAGAACAACACAGAAATAGCATAGAAATTTTCTTCTCTTCGAGATATTCCGAGAAGGCAAGGTATTAATAAATCGCTATGATAGAAATGTGAAATCATTTCAGTACAAAACAAAATTGAGAAGATATCGAAAGATTTATATGTTTATTTCTGTAAAAGTAACTTTATAAATTTTTATTAGTAAAATTCTTTGAGTAGAATTATTGTAAGAAAAGGAAATTGTGAGAAACACAAATTTTTTCAAAAAAATATGTTATACATATATATTTTTTAAGTTTCCATTTGCAAAATTAAGATATTGCTTTACCAAAAATTTAAAAATAAGAAAAATCAAGATATTTAGAAAATAAAATCTATATGCGCAAGAAAAATTTTCTACAACTTAAATTCGACATTAAATATCGAATACAATAGAAATTCGTAATGTGATTGAAGTAAATGTCACGCAATAAAACCTTGTCATTATGAATCGATATCGGAGTAAGAAGAAGTTTATGCGAAACCGTGATTAAATGTCTGAGTCTTTCTCTCTCTTTTTAGAATCGACAAATATTTTCTGATATCTGTGCGTTTTGATAAAAAACCGATATCATAGACTTTCGTTTTGAAAAAAATTGCGAAGCTTGGCACGTTGATGTGGCAGATCGCATCCCGTCAGTTTGTTCGCATACTATCTGTTTTCTTTCTCGAAGATTTTTTTTCTCTTTCCAATTTAATATTTGAGAATAGTGTTTATTCTTGTCTAATTCTCATATTTTATTTGAGAAATAGGCACAGCGATGTTTAATTTTGCCTCAAATCTCTCTAATAGTAATTAATAGAATAAAATTTTTTTAAATTGTTTTTCTACGTCTTTTATTCGATATGTCTATCTGGAAACATTCGACCTTTACGCGAAATTTTGCGTGACCTTCAATCTTGTTATAATTTACCTCAATTTTGTATATTTTTACGAAATGAAAGATCTATTATTTAGACAATGACAATAAATTTGTCAAATAATTTGTATTATAATTTTTATTATGTAAAAATCATTACTTATTAAAATCTGTTAAAATATATCCCATTTATTCACTTTACATACCATACACTTGTAACAATATTTTTAAGGAAATATATCCAGCAGCGATATAATTTAATAAACTTTATAGTAATAATATCATCGAATAATTAGAATAGTTATATTAACAATATACTAGTTGACAGTTGATATAGTATAATATTACATGTTCTAATTGAAAGTTAGTTAATGCTTGTATGATTTTTATACCACACACATATTCTCAAAGTTTATGGAAAATATACGACATAGGTTTATTCAAAAAACAAAGGAAACTTCAAAGAACCTCTCTGTCGTATTGCACTTGCGTGTTTATGAAATTACTTGCATATTATCACAGGCGCAACCCCGATAAAAATAAAAATCAGAGCGTAAATCGAATGTAATAGGAATAACAGAAGCGTAAATGAAACTTCTAGGAGGCGAAAATTGAAACATCAAATGTTTCTTCGCAGAAACATAAATGCTTTTTTACATTTCATTTTCCAATTTTCGCCTTCTAGAAGTTTCGTTTACGCTTTTGTTATTCTCCTATTACATTCGATTTGCACTCCGATTTTTATTTTCATCAGGGAAGGTATTATTCAGATATACGTTATTCAGATATGTTCTGTTAAGCGAAATTCGAAGAGTTAAGCATAGATTTGAATGCTTCACGAAATTGCTGCAGGAATGTCTGGCTAAGCATTTGCAATATGCCAGTGGATTCTGAGCGGCTTAAGCTCATTTAAACTTTTCGTGAGAAGAGAACGTCTGGCATGAATGATTTAGGTTTGAATGATTTGCATGTGAAACTATGCGAACTTACTAATTTTGGATTAAAATATGTAACTCGTTTTCAACTGTCACATCTAGCATGCTCATTAATTCAACTAATTATTCATATCATTATTTGATTGCCATAAAGTTTCTCAAATTGTGACGTTCGATATATCTCTTTGAAATTATCGTCCATTATATGCAAAGTGAATGAGTGAGGTGTAGTTTAATGACGGATTTCTATAGAATAAAAATTGTTCTTTAAATAAAGTTTTCCAAGTTTTAATTGTGCTTTTAGAATCAAGTTTCAAACTGAAATTCTGTTAAAACTCATTTGAAAAATTAACGGAAGATTATAATCTTAATATCTATTTGACTTCTTTATCGTAAGATATTCAACATACTGTGATTCAAAGCATTCTTTGGAGACAGGACGATCCAAATTTTCTGTTAATTTTTCCGATAATTAGGAGTTCTTTTGAATCATCGATTATTATTCGGTGAATTCGCTGATCTTAATAGAAGTCTTTAATGGATTCTCGAGTACTTGACTTAGAACCAAAATAAACCCGATTTCAATTATCTCAAATCGCGTTCCTAAGAATGCTCCAGCTGCAAGTTGTAATTTCCGACGATCAAAGCAACTGCATTGCTTACCGAGCATGCGAATAACGTTCCTTTGAGCGTTCGTTTTCCCTCTGCTGCTGTCCACGTGATTCAATACACCGTGAATATGATGCCTTTTACTGACGGTGGTAGATAGCAGGCTCGAGCGTCGCAATTTGATGGCAATCAACACGTACAGCACGGTGATGATTGTCATCGGCAGCACAAAGAATAGGATGGTTGAGATCTCAAACGCATGCTCGATTAGTGTCCACCGTAGTGAGCACCTTGCACTGTCCAAGACGGCGGTGTCGTTGTCGGCGTCGTCGACGTAGACGATGCCAAATTGAATAGCTTGTGGTACGGCGAGGCAGAGGGCCAACAGCCATATCGCCACCACAAATTTTACCGCCCGTGATAGTTTCGACATTGTATGTGAAATAAAGGGATGACAGATCGCCACGTACCTGCAGCAAAAAAAGTAGAAATACTAAAAAGAGGTAAACATTTAATTTTCGAAGAGACTGAAATTCGTCGATGGCTCTATCCTGCGGGTGTCCGGATTATCGATGTTCACGCGCAGTCAAAAATCGTAGAACCGACAAACTGGCGCGAGCTTTCCACACACACTCTCTCTCTCTCTCTCTCTCTCTCTCTCTCTCTCTCTC